TTTGAAACCATTGGGAGAAGTTTGGAGAATGGCGTTGTCAACGCCTTGCCATCCCTTTCTCGCAATGTCAATAAACCAAAGGGCGTTGGAGGCAATCAGCCCCATTCTGAAAACAGCGCTGCAACGGCGTTGTCAATGCCATTCTCAAAACGGTTGCTACCTCAACGCCCCCATAATTTGCTGGGTAGACGGGGGTTGACTGTACTTTTCTTGTAACTGCAATAACAAGCAATCATTTGAATTCACCATATATTTTGAATACTCTTTGAGATACTGCACATAAAAAACTCTCAAAATTCTCATCCCAAAAAATTTCAAGACTCATCCCAAAACGCAGGAAAATTTTCCAAAATTCACTAAAAATTAGTCCAGAAGACGTTTTGCTGTCAATCCTTACAAAAATTATGCGTCAGTTATTCACAAGGTCTCAGTAAATATTCGAATCACCGGTTTATTTCCAACAAAGTTGTTACATAAGTTATTATTAAAGAAAGTAGCTGCATGATACTGCAAATAAAATAAAATAAACATTTCCCAGACATGACTTGGAGAAATGTATAATAGCCTCATTACTTTCTGAAGAAAATAAACAAGGAAAGGTCCATAGCTTCTACCTCCAACTACAATGGACTGCAATTCATTCAAATGGCAGAAATCCTGAGGGATACAATGAACATTGTATTCTCATATCAATTTTCGAATGTGCTTGGTATACAAAAGATTATGTCGACATCAGCAGTCTGGGAAACAAAACCGATATTGAGGAATCAGCACAGTTTCAACTCATTTCTTCAGATGTGAAACACCAAAAGTTTCTTCAACATTACATTGATTATAGCCCTTTTCCGAGTATTGTGCTCAAGACATTCATTCCCATTTTATCTAAAAAAAAAAATAGGGCTCGAAAATATCGGTACTGTAATTGTTCAGCATTTTCAACTTCATTGTCTAAACCGGATTTAATTCAAATTTAAATGTATATATTTTCGTTTGCCCGATTTGGACACTGTTTTGAAGCCGAAGGAAAATCCTTTGAATGTATGGTGGAATGTTCAACAATATGAGTGACTAAAATAAAAAAAATAACGAGTCATGTCTTTATCTAAAATAAATTTTGATCAACTATCCTTGACAATGTTGTTTCCGGACTTGACCTTGAGCTGCATGGACAACTTTTTTCGCTGGTTTTATACATCTGGTGATGATCAAAGGATTGATAAATCGATTACAGTGACTCACAAACATGACCTTCTTCCATATGTTTTGTAGATGTAATCCAGAAGAAAAGAAACACAATACAGTATTTTTCAACCAAGAATGAATTCATAGAACTTAGATCATCTGAATACACAAAATGCACTTGTAAAAAATATGGTTCCCTGCCCTCAACACAAGCGAGTCCCACACAGAGGATATTTTCAAGCCTTTCAAATTCATTCTCTTGTTTGTATCTCCTTCTTTGTAGAATGAAGAGTCAGGCAGTGATTAAATATTACATAATCCTCCAACATACCCAAAAACTGGTTCCTCATTTCTTGTTGCCCAGCATCAAACATAAACTTGCCTCCCATAAATCCCAAAACCAGTACCACACTGAGCCATTGTAATCTTCAAATTTTTTCTCCCATGCAGAGCCAAGCAGAAAAACAAAAAAAACCCACTCATGGACAGAGACTTTTCTCATATTCCCTTTTCATCCCCAGAAAAATGGAAAACTGTAGTGCATCAAATTCTGTTGAAAATATTGTCTGAATTGATATTCCTGTCTTGATGAATGAAAAGAAAGCTTTATTTTCTGGTTTTAAGGGTTCACAAGGTTGAATCAGCATTCCCACATTGTTTTGTGTGAAAGTGTCAGTGTGTGAGTTCCAAAATTTTCTGATTTGAATAACTCACCATTGGGAGATGGATAAATATCCATTTCTTGGAACTTCTATATAAAACAGCTTGGATTCTTGTGTTCAACTTTAATTTCCCATTCATCTTCTTGGGTAAGGCTGCAAAGGCCTTAAAATCAAACAAGGTGATTCCATATATTTTTCAGAGGTCACAACATTGCCCAATGCAAAATACTGTAACCAGGAAAAATTGAAGTTGATTTTTGGTACATTACACATGGAAGAATGATTCACAAATTGATGCATTTGAATTCATTAAAAGGAAATAAAGTCAGGAGTTTTCAATATGGTTTCAAAAAATCCTGAACAAGAATTTGTAATCTCGTTACAAGAAAGCGATTCGGACTTTGAAAAATACTTTGTTGTGAAATAAGTTTCGTTTAAGTGGAATGAAAAAATGGTGTGGCTATATTAGGCGCGGGGGAAAAAACACATTCGTCATGAGCATTAATTCATAATAACCAGGTTCGTTGTACTAGAATTCTTTTCTAGCTATTACATAACCTCACAAAAGTAAAAATTGTCCTGGTTCGATCTTCAAATAAACGTTAACGTTCTCGTAACATTTGTTTTTTTCTCGAGCAGAAAAACGCCGACTTCCGGAAGACTGCAATTTAGTTTGAAATGGTCCCGGGAATTTTGACACACTTCCTTGGTTTCCTATCTGCATACATGTGCATGGATGCAGTGCTGCCAGATTTCGACAAAATTGAAGACTATCCCGTGAGTTTTTTTAAATTATGGATAATAAATTCACAATCGAAAACCGCTCCTATGATAGAATCTTTTCTTACGATTTCATTCAATGAACTCTGTCCAAATTCAGGTTCTTTGAGAAATAGAACTACTGTATTTCATTTTTTCAATGTTATGCATTTATTAATCCTCTCTATTTTGATATATTTCTACACTGTGAATAAAAAATGTGTGAAATGAAGATCATCACGTAAACATCTGGACTGGCAAGAAAATTGTAAAAAATTATCGCAATTCCATCTCGATTGATGACATTTTCATTCTTACTTTTCTTGTTCAAGAAATGGTCTTGAGTGCATCTTTAAAATTGATTTGTCTCTAATATTTACAGAAAAGTCAGTATAATGCTATGCAATATTTTTATATGCACTGAGTTTCATTTAAGTTGAGACCCCAAGATGTGCACAGAACTGGTGCTTCAAGAGGGTCCCTAAAAGTCAAAATGTCCCAAAGTTGAGTCACATTTTTCCTTAGAATTACAATAAATAATATTTAATTGGCGTTTTATGTACAAAATAATCACAATAATTCCAAAAAAATAAAAATTGTCTCCCATTTAAAACTGATTCAATCAATATTTTTCAACAAAATATGGAAATTGGGGGAATTGAATATTTATACTTCTGTACAATTCAAAGAAATGTTGGCATTCTCTGTAAAATCACAAATGTCCCTATGTTGAGTCAGCGTCCTTAAGTTGGGCCTTTTTTGTGGGAAAATAAGTGTACCTATGTTGAATTGTCTGCAAGTTTAGGTGTCTGCATGTGGGAGTCTCATTGTAATTAAAAATAATGTTCTCAAATCATAATAATTTGCAACTGTGCCAATCCAATAATTTGCAACTGTGCCAATCCAATAATTAGCTGAAATGTTCACTGTTACATAATTCTAACTGAATCATTGCTGTTACCAATAAATTACAGTCAACCTGAACAAAACAGACTTAATTCCTGCAACAGACCAGTCTGTTGAGAAGAAAGTTTGTTTCTCTATTATGCAAATTCAATTATCAACAATTTAAATGTTTGCTTTTTATCATTAATTTCAAACCAACAGACGTCTCCTATGTGGATTTTCAGTCCATTGCGCAGGAGGGGAAAGTGCCTCCAGAGTTGGTGCGCTGTGCAGAAAATCTGTTGTGTGGGAGGTCTGTTGTGCAGGGGTCAACTGTAGCATGCATATAAGATGGCAAAATTATATTACATGTTGTTTCCGGACTTGACCTTGAGCTGCATGGACAACTTTTTTCGCTGGTTTTATACATCTGGTGATGATCAAAGGATTGATAAATCGATTACAGTGACTCACAAACATGACCTTCTTCCATATGTTTTGTAGATGTAATCCAGAAGAAAAGAAACACAATACAGTATTTTTCAACCAAGAATGAATTCATAGAACTTAGATCATCTGAATACACAAAATGCACTTGTAAAAAATATGGTTCCCTGCCCTCAACACAAGCAAGTCCCTCACAGAGGATATTTTCAAGCCTTTCAAATTCATTCTCTTGTTTGTATCTCCTTCTTTGTAGAATGAAGAGTCAGGCAGTGATTAAATATTACATAATTCTCCAACATACCCAAAAACTGGTTCCTCATTTCTTGTTGCCCAGCATCAAACATAAACTTGCCTCCCATAAATCCCAAAACCTGTACCACACAGAGCCATTGTAATCTTCAAATTTTTTCTCCCATGCAGAGCCAAGCAGAAACACAAAAAACCCACTCATGGACAGAGACTTTTCTCATATTCCCTTTTCATCCCCAGAAAAATGGAAAACTGTAGTGCATCAAATTCTGTTGAAAATATTGTGTGAATTGATATTCCTGTCTTGAAGAATGAAAAGAAAGCTTTATTTTCTGGTTTCCAGGGTTCACAAGGTTGAATCAGCATTCCCACATTGTTTTGTGTGAAAGTGTTAGAGTGTGAGTTCCAAAGTTCTCTGAGTTGAATAACTCAGCATTTGGAGATGAATAAATCTCCATTTCTTGGAACTTCTTATAAAACAGCTCTGATTGTTGTGTTCAACTTTAATTTCCTATTCATCTTCTTGGGTAAGGCTGCAGAGGCCTGAAAATCAGACAAGGTGATTCCATATATTTTTCAGAGGTCACAACATTGCCCAATGCAAAATACTGTAACCAGGAAAAATTGGAGTTGATTTATGGTGCATTACACATGGAAAAATGATTCACAAATTGATGCATTTGAATCCATCAAAAGAAAATGAAGTCAGGAGTTTTTAATATGGTTTTAAAAAATCCTGAACAAAAATTTGTAATCTCGTTACAAGAAAGCGTTTTGGACTTTGAAAAATGCTTTGTTGTGAAATAAGTTTCGTTTAAATGGAATGAAAAAATGGTGTGGCTATATTAGGCGGGGGAAAAAACACATTCGTCATAAGCATTAATTCATAATAACCAGGTTCGTTGTACTGGAATTCTTTTCTAGCTATTACATAACCTCACAAAAGTAAAAATTGTCCTGGTTCGATCTTCAAATGAACGTTAACGTTCTCGTAACATTTGTTTTTTTTCTCGAGCAGAAAAACGCCGACTTCCGGAAGACTGCAATTTAGTTTGAAATGGTCCCGGGAATTTTGACACACTTCCTTGGTTTCCTATCTGCATACATGTGCATGGATGCAGTGCTGCCAGATTTCGACAAAATTGAAGACTATCCCGTGAGTTTTTCAAATTATGGATGATAAATTCACAATAGAAAATCGCTCCTATAATCGAATATCTTCTGACGATTTCATTCAATTAACTCTGTCCAAATTCAGGTTCTTTGAGAATTAGAACTACTGTATTTCATTTTTAAAATGTTATGCATTAATCCTCTCTATTTTTACATATTTCTACACTGTGAATAAAAAATGTGTGAAATGAAGATCATCACGTAAACATCTGGACTGGCAAGAAAATTGTAAAAAATTATCGCAATTCCATCTCGATTGATGACATTTGTATTCTTACTTTTCTTGTTCAAGAAATGGTCTTGAGTGCATCTTTAAAATTGATTTGTCTCTAATATTTACAGCAAAGTCAGTATAATGCTATGCAATATTACTATATGCACTGAGTTTCATTCAAGTTGAGACCCCAAGATGTGGACAGAACTGGTGCTTCAAGAGTGTCCCAAAAAGTCAAAATGTCCCAAAGTTGAGTCACATTTTTCCTTAGAATTACAATAAATAATATTTAATTGGCGTTTTATGTACAAAATACTCACAATAATTCCATTTTTTATTTTTAACAGAGGGTAAATTTTGACTAAGTTAGTTATAAAAAGTTGTTTTATACCTTTAACCCCCTTAACTTATAAATATGAAGACATGTTAAGTTTCTTTACAACCGTAAGAGACATTTTAGAATGTTCATGTGAAAAAGAGGGAAGGAAGTCCATCTATGCCAGAGGTAATTTTTTTTAATCAGCTGAATTGATATATGGTACATTGGTGAGAGAGATGCCCAAAAACTTTTCTTACCGGAAATATCGTTTTCTTGTAATTTTTCCTGGAATGTATTTGCAATTTTATGTGTTTACAGGGATACAACTCAGTCGCAGGAATTCAACCCGGAAAAAACACCCTTTTATTCACATGGATACAACTTAACAGACGTTCAAATCCACAGACGTACACCCTCAGAGTAACATTAATTTTTAAATGTTCTCAAATCATAATAATTTGCAACTGTGCCAATCCAATAATTAGCTGAAATGTTCACTGTTACGTAATTCTAACTGAATCATTGCTGTTACCAATAAATTACAGTCAATCTGAACAAAACAGACTTAATTCCTGCAACAGACCAGTCTGTTGAGAAGAAAGTTTGTTTCTCTGTTATGCAAATTCAATTATCAACAATTTAAATGTTTGCTTTTTATCATTAATTTCAAACCAACAGACGTCTCCTATGTGGATTTTTTCAGGTAACGCGTCCTCCCCTTTCACGGAGGTCTCAACCACGCGACACGTCTTTTAGACAACACACCCTCCAGACAACACGTCCCCAGTTGACATCGTACGTATATTCTACCGTTTTAATATAATGTAGAATCCCCTTCTGCATTATTTGGCTTCCAGCACTTTGACAAAGTGACTTGATTGCTATAGCTATGATGTAATGTTCTGAAAGTGAAATTGCAGGAAAAGCTGAGATGGGCTGGAATAGAAGAGCAGATGATAGCAACAGAGTACATGGAATCTCTTCTGGAATCCAACTGGAAAAACATGAGCAAACCCAGGAGTGGGTTCCAGGTTCAATGGCATCACTCCTCTTCATATTCCAGGGACATTCAATTAATCACTGTAAGCAGAAGAAAAAAACGCTTCCCTGGTCCTGAAAACTTGGATTGAAATTCCGATTTTTTTGTTCTTGTTTGAAAATCTTCAGAAAGTATTCCCCCAAAGCATTGACCAAATATTGAAGTCCTTCTGGGTCGAGAGCTTTTCTCAATCTGAAATTTGGGAGTCGCTTTTCTCGTCCTCGAAGCTTCTTTCAGTGAGTTTCTCTTTCGCTTCTCAACCTAAATTATTCAATTTATCAACTGTTGTGACTTTTTCTTCCTTCGGTTACAAAAAAAAATATAGTATGCCGGGAACAACAAGGTTATTGGCCATTCCCAAACACAGGACACGTTACCAGGTTGGGTCATCGCACCTCGAGATTTCGTTTCCTTGGCCATGAAAATCGACAACATCGGCAGTGATAATTTTCAGCATTTGGCACAGCCACTGCTGAAATACTTTTCGCAAAGAGGCTGGCATTTTTCGACGAAAAATAGCTTAATTGTGGTCACAAATGCCAGCAAACACGACAACGAATTCCCGCCTCTTCCTGGTGTCATCAGGTTTTTTTTTTTCATACACTGTTTTTCAAATTTATTTCTGAGAAAACATTCTTCAAATATTTTTTGTGGTTCCAGGGGTACTTCAGGACCTTCAGGCTGGTTGATGACATCAGTTTCACCTGAAAGCGATTCAGCAACACGAATTCATTGGTTGATGAACGTGGACAGCCAAATTCCAAAACTTGTTCCCACTGTTATGACTAGGAAAATCATGATCAAATCAGCAATGGACGCTCTCGAACATTGGCAAAACTATCTCACAAATATGTTCCCAGCTTCATAAAAAATTTGTCTGAAGTTTCCAGTGATGAGGATCCTAAAATTCTGACGCAAGACAGCACAGAAGAAAAAATAAATTGTTTTTTCAAGAAAATGCGGGATATTCTTTCATGCAACATTTCACCACTTTCCAGCAGAAAAAACTTTACACACCAGGATACAAAAATGAGAGATTATGAAGAAGAATCGTTTCTTGTTTTTATTTTTTGGAGAAGAAAAAGAGAGAAAGTGTGTGTGAGTTTTTTTTTTTTTTTAGAATTCGGGTCAGGAGGAAAACCGGAAGCTCTGCGATCCCACGAAGCTTATCGCAGGTTGGACAGAAGAAATGAATGTGCACTAGACGAAATAATCTGGAAAGTGGGGGATCTTTCCAGTCGGCAGAACCCAGGGGTATTTGCAGGGGGGAGGAGGGGGTTGAGGGGGGTTGTGAAGAAAAGATGAGGGGAGAAGAGAAACCAGGGGATCCTCGTTTGCTGGCACGGGATTGAGCCTCAGTCGCCACTGGAGCGTCCAAAAGGGCGGACGTTTCATTATAATTTTCGTGTGTGCCTTTTTGCAGCAAAATTCTTTCCTCATTTTTTTTTCTGGTGATCTTTGGATGTATCAATTACATTTTTACAATAATACAGGAACGTTTTCGAGGAAATTCGCACGAAATTCATTTCGTGTCGCGCTTGAAAAAGTTCGTGCTGAAAATAATTTTTTTTGGTGAATCAGGTGCTCCATCTTTGTGGTATTTCGCGAAGATGATTTCCTACACAAAAGTAATCCCTTCTTCGACTGCCAAAATGCATATCCCCAGAAAAATCATTCTTATGGTCTCAGTGAACGTGTTATTAAGTTTGTGCCATTCTGCACTAAAAAAGAAGAAACACTGTAGAAAAAAAAAAATTAGACGCGTGAGTTATTCAGCAGAAATCGTAAAAGACACTGATACTCTTATATACGAGTCAATTTTTGTTCGATCATTGCTGGGAAGAATTGTGGTAAGAAGAAAATTTTCCAACTTGAAACAGAACATGTTCTAGAAATAAGAAGGAAAGCTGAATTTATGTTTGTAAAAAATTCCAGAAATGAAGTCGCAACCAAAAATTGCTTGAAGGGAAGTTGGGCATCCAGTCTTCAAAGAAATATCGCGAAGAGCAATGAAAAAAGAATCATAACACAATACTTGGGACCAAGTGTCATTAAGGCAATTCTCAATAAATGGAAACCTTTTTGTAACTTCCTGCTCTTTAGTACCCGAGGAAGGCACATTTCCTGATTAGGACGTGTGTAAATAACAAGTTCCATAGGGAACTGATGGTAATGTCTGAAACTCTGGGACGAATGAGAGAAATGTCAAGAAAAGCTCTTTGATGGAAGTATCATGCTCAAAATCTAATGAGAAAAGCAAAGAGTTGAGAGCATAATTATGAGCCAAAATGTTTTAAACAACTTTCTATACAGTATTAAAGAATTTTTGGTAAATTTTTAATGCTTGAAAAGGAATAGATTTTTCCCCACCCTGAGCCAATTTTGTTTTTCTCATAATCATAGTCGTTTTTGTGTTTAGGCAAAGGTCACCAAATGGTAACATAGGATATATAGCCAATATCAAATCACATTTTTCGATTTAATTCCTTCTAAAATCCTCGTTTGCAAATTCTATATTTTTGAATGCAAAAAAATACCACGCGGTGAGGAATTTCCTTATGTTTCAGCAAAAATGGTCTGCAATGAGTATATGAACAGTTTTCTTGGTCTTTTTTTCGTTGGGCATCACATTTTTCCAGTATATCCTGATTATTTTGTAAAAGGGTTGAAAATACCCCATTTTGTTACTCTTACATCAAATTGCATTAGCACAAAATAAAATGTGAACCTGTGAAAGTTCAATGAATGTTGGCAAAGTGAGAAGTTTTAGCAAAATAACCTTATTATGTCAACATTTTGCATGGATTTTTTCCTGGTTCATTAAGAATTTTTTTTGCACATGCAACTGCTCATTTGTCACAAGTAGCACTCCGCAAATTCGACGCACATGCTGGAGAAAAAAAAACTAATGAAGAATGGAGGACATCTACTGAGGTCACAAAAACATCAGGAAAAGAAAACGACTGTATAGGATACTCCAAGAAGGAAATAAACTGTACAAGAAGTGATTGTAACATAAACCAAATGGTGACTGTTCCCCCAGTGTATCTGGTTACAGCTGTGGTCTGCATGCTCCACTCACAGCTATTTATATTCTCATCTGCTCCTTTTCCTTGGTATTGTTTTCGTGGGTGGAAAGAATGAGGTGAACATGAATCATGTTCCCAATTTTGATGCACTTGTATAGAAAGGTTTATGGGAATTGTTGAAGTGTGTCAGTGGATAAATGCATCTCAAGTGTTTATATGTGTGGACTGTGGAGTGCAGCTCTTTATACAAGTTGGTGCAACAGCCACTGCTATTTTTTTCTTCTTCATTTGTTTATGCACTATATACAGTGAGATCTCATCCAGATGCAGATGTTATTGCTGCTTGGACCCTATCCATAGTTTCAACATCCAAATGTTGCATCATATGATAAAGGTATTGTAGGGGATGCTGAATTGTGTTGTATTTTACTCTCAGTGGGCATTTAAGAGAACTGCTGCCTGAATTGAACCTTCACTGATCTCTCTTTCAAACAGTGCGATCCCAAAATGCAGACCCCCCAAGAGATGGACAATTTCACTTGGGCACTCTAGAAAATCAGGCCCAACATTAGGACAATAGCACTACTAATGGAGATTTTCCCAAAAATGTCTGCAAACAATTCCATTCCTTCAACATTTTCATATTCATTGGAAAAACTGTCATTTGCAGTTGAAAAAACGAATCATAAAGATTAACCTCAACTATTTAAATTGATAATCAGAAAAGGCAAATTTTGTACTTATTTTGTCAAATTTATTTGCTCATGTGTTCTCAGCTTCTCATTCAGTATTTTACAGCAAAACCCGTTCTTGTCATTTGTTTCTTGAGCATTTTATCATGTCAAAAGATGTGTGGTTTGCTCATGTATCTTTATTTTCTGTACCGTCAACTTGATAAAAATTATTATTTCATTTCTGGGAGGCTTTTTCTTGATTTTTTATCTACAGCTGGGAGAACCAAGTTACACTGAAATATTTTGGAAAACCAGGTCCAAGTAACATGCAGACATTCCAACACCTAGAGACAAGGTTGTTGCACCATTTATGTCCACATCTTGAGGTCCCACTATATTGTCTAAAAGACTCAAATTAAAACTTCTACAGATCATGAAAAAATTAGGAATAAATTCTAAAAAAAATTGAATAAACTGTGTTTTTGAATTCAAAGATACATAAAATAACTGCGCAGATGAAACCTGCACTGACTGCTGTGATCTTTTGACACCAAAAGCTGGACCTCAAGAAGCAAAGAAAAAGGATAAATCTTGCTATGCATACTGTGCATGCAGATGACAAGAAATACTCCAAAGGAAGAAGGATGTGCAGATCAGATTTTTTGGAGTTTCAATTGTCTCAAAGTAAAATCATTGGTATGTTGGTGTAGAGTCTGTATGTTGGGGTCTCACTGTATTTGAAAACTTAGAATAATGTGTCACTTCAAATTTTGTTCATTGAATGCAATATGTCAGAAATTTGATTAGTGAGTTGAAAGTTGAAGTTACAAAATGAATCACATTATTTCAGTTCGGCTGCAACCATGGGTGATTGAATACCCTATTGTACTTTTGTTCATATTCTTCACAGAATACATACAAGTTGATGGTTCCCCAGTAATCAATTCACTTCAAAGCAGTGTAGTATATCCACAACATGGCAGTTTGTTGAAAAAGAACCAAAATAATTGCTTGCATTAAATTTCAGACTTGTTTTATATTTGTAAAATTATAAATTTTCAGGAACAAACATGGTAGGATGCTCATCCTAGTTGGGAATTAATTTTTCATAGTGGTTATACCCATAAGTTGAGGATTGCATTTCATGTGACTGTGTGTGCTACTTGAGTTAATATACCGTTTCTTCAAATATTGTGTATCACAGCAGATCTACAAGTTTGATGTATTATTTGTTTTTCTTGCATTTATAACGTCATTTTTCCGGTTGTCAAAGTTATTATCAAGTTTATACAGTTCAAGGTAGAATTGCAGGTTTTGGAAATACAGTGCCCCCCCGCCTAACAGACCTCCCGTGTAAGGGATTTTCACCTAACAGACAAGCTCTGCAAGCAGTTTTTCCTCCCGCCCAACAGACAAAATCTGCCAAACAGACTTCTTTTNCAAGCAGTTTTTCCTCCCGCCCAACAGACAAAATCTGCCAAACAGACTTCTTTTGGTTTAAAATTAGTGTTGAAAATTGAAATTTTCAATTTTTTATGTAATTGAATTTGTGTAAAGGACTTTTTGTCTAACAGACTTGTCCCTTGCACGAATCAAGTCCGTTAGACGGGGGTTGACTGTACACCATAACTGCAATGCTCCAAATTGTTCATTGAGTTTTGATCACTTTTTCTGAATCCATTCTATTCAAAAACACATTTCCACAAGATGCAGATTGCTCATTTACACTCAAAAGGCAAGATTCAGCAAAGCAACCCAGAAAAACAAGTTTCCCTATATAGTCCAACCTTATTTTCAAACCTGACCTACCTTGTTGTGAAAGACCTTGTTTCCTTTCATAATTTTCTGGGCTCTCACAAATAGTACCTATTAGAAAAAAAACCTTTGCTCAACAAGTGATCATGATGTTTTTGAAGAAAAAAAAGGATAAATGCACCCTTCTACGCGAAGTTTCCAAGTGATTTTTCCTACATGAAGTGATGTATACCACTTTGGTAACTACGAATGACATTCGAATGATTAATGTTCTACGCTAAGACCCTTTTTGACGTTGTTACATTTACATCTGTACCATATTTATTGGGAAAAATGGATTTTTATGAGACTTTCCCAGAGCAAATGAGGTTGTTTGCTATTTAAAACTGCCTGATTCACTGAATATTATAAATAAAAATCACCGACTATTGCATAAAGATGAACTGATCTGATTCAAGTTATTTTTTGATTTTCAGGAAATTGGCATGAACAGTTTTACAAGAAGAAACACGCTCTTAACGCGAAATGGAAGTTCAGGAGCGAGTTCTGTTGCGGAAGTCAACATTGCTATAGTTGGAGAACAAGGCAGTGGAAAATCAGGTAAGCTATTAAAATTTGACTGGCATTAAATATCTTGCATACCTTTTGAAATTAGTAACGTGAAAAGAATAGCCCAGCATTGAAGCAAATCAGCAGAAGAGAACATACCTTGACAGAATCTCCACAAAAATATACCGTACTCAGAAGCTGGTTTATCAAAATATGTCCATTTCAGAAGACTCATTCTCTTTGAGGATTCTCCCATGAACCAATGTATCAGAGGAATTCTTGTAAAAACACCAGTAGAATTGTGAAAAACCGTATACTGCCTCCGAAAATCAGCAGGTTCCCACTCAATCTGCATGATTTTATACACATTTTATCAGTACCCAACAGGTATTGACAGCTTCAATCATACAGAAAAGCGTATATGCTCTACATCTACATATTCTACAAGTATCTAAGTGTACAGTAAAAAAAAATGAAAACATCTGCTGAGCACATGGCTTCGAAGGCTATAGAAAATAATTCTCTCTGCCTATGACAGGTATAAAGGCATAGGAATCCTGCTGAAAGCTCTTTCACAGCCTTATGTGAGATGTACCTGAATATTTCCCTTCCAAAGGCATCCGACCTTGGAGATTCCCAGGTTTCTTTGTGAAAGATGCCTCGTGATGCAAGAAGACTCAATCTACCATCTCAGTTGATTAACTTCTCCTTCCTGAACCAGGAGTCTATTTGAAACTGTTGCATTATGCGTCTGACTAAAATAACTGAACCACTTTCTGTGACAAACAAAAAAAGGAAGACTGGGCGAACATAACTGATGGATCCTTTAATGTGATGGATTTCTTGACAATTCTATTGAAGAGCCCAGATATTTTTTCACCATTAGGTGATCCATAAGCAAGAATGCACAGATGAAAATCAAGATGGCTCAACATAGGCTGAGTGTAAAAAATGTATTTCTTTCTCAGCTCAGAACCTTCCTGCTGATGAAATTATACCTCATGTGTCACAGTGTCAGTCATCTGTATTTTTAATAGAAATTAAACTTTCAAATTTGAAAACAATAGTCTATTCTTTCCAAAAAAAATTTCAACATGGGATACTCAGCCATGGCTATATTTTGATGACATTTGTAGGAATGAAAATCTACTGTGCCTGCATAAATGAACAAAACCTTGATTATGTTACATAATGGGGAACAACATGCTGCAGGGAGTGCTTCCAGGAGTTAAAGTACTCAAAGTACTGTATTCAAGAATTAATCCTAAAACTTGCTACAATTGCATTGAGATCATGTTTCAAAGAAAATTGGACAACTTGGTCTCATGACATCATGGATGGTAGCAAATTTGTGCAAAAGGTGATTCATATCCATGCAAAAAGCCAAAATGTATGACTAGAAAAATGCATTGTACTGTAGTAGGAATTCAGTTTTTGAGAAACAGTATGGGGATTGTCAAGGGTCCTTAGACCTCAGACAAAGACAATGGGTTTAGGTGAAAAAAAACACAACAGGCAATCAGCCGTTTGCGGCCTGAGGATAAGTCCTCAACTTTGAAGTTTATTTTCAAAGATATTTGTTGAAAGACTTGAAACACAAAATGCCAGCTTTCTTGGAGTAGTGTTTGTGGTCACACTTCAGGAACTGTTCTGATGAGGATGATGAGGTTGTGAGGATGAGGTTGAGGTCCAATCCAATGGAAATGAACCTGAAGGTCAAGTTCTTGGAGTTGTGTTTTGAGATTCATGAGAATCCTTTTGAAGAGGATTTCTCAATGTGTTTTGTAATAATTACAGAAAATTTTACAAAGGTTTCATACCTTCATAGAATATTCCAAATTATGCAATTTTGATCTTTGTGTGTCCAGTCGCTTCTATGCAATGTGGCGCAACTGTGAGCAACATCTAGTCATTTTGCGGTGCAAATACAAAAGCTTTGGGAGACACCTAGTTGACCCACAACAGGGATGAAAGAGTGAAATAAAACCAAACATTACTTTTTTATGCAGAGAAATTATTTTAGAAAAATGCATTTTAGAGAGTGCAGCTTTAGAAAAAATGCTTCAAGGACAATCTTCAAAAAATTTGTTTCAACAATTCATTCCAAATTCATTATAACAATTGCATCTTGAAAAACTTTTCCACAAGGTTATTTACAAATGTTTGATTCTCTGACATTTCCTAAAACTTACCACTGACAATTTGTTATATTGAGAAAATTTCTTAAGAAAAGATCATTGTAGAGAGTCCACCTCAATGAGAAAAAATGCTTCATGAACAATGTTCCAAAAGTTTTCGTTTAAAAAATGCATCTCAAGTTCAGTGCAACAATTTCATTTTGAAAAATTGTTCACAGCATTCAATAAAAGTCTTGAATTCTTCAAAATTTGCTACAGATTTCTTCAGTTTGGAATTGGGACATGAAACAAATGCCCACCTGAAGTTAATACTCCTCTACTGCTGGCCATGCACAGTCGCATACTCGTCCAGCACCAAAAAATCCAAAATACTCCTCTGGATGGACAAATAACTCCTCAAGCAGATCCTGTGTTGTTCAACCAACCCCCCTCCCTGTATATCACCCCTCTCCCCGCCCCCCACGTGTTCAACCGGATGATGTGTTTGCTTCCCCCTTCGGCGACCAGAGCAGAAGTGTCAAGCACACTCACCTTACGGGCTTACTCTTCTTGTAGATGAGCTGATTAGTTTGGAAACGCGTGGAAAGCATGCCTCCCTTGTAGAGCGTGGAACTACTTGCCTGGAAGAGAATAAAATGGAGTGGAAAAAAAACCATTGAAAGACCCTTTTTATGTTCTTTTGTGCACTTCAGCACTAGCCTTCAAGTTGAGGACATTAAACTATACCGGTGCTGGGAGACAGACTTGTTGAACGCTTTTTTTTTATTCGGAGATCAGATTGGAATTCTAGATACTTTTGGATTCTAAGAATTTGGACATGGCGTGTTTAGGGGTGCTGAGAAAAGACGTAGGTGTTTCCTGCACAAAAAGAAGCCCAGGCAGGAATGAACACGGTTCCGCAAAATAATAACATGGAATCTATTGAATAGTATGGAAATAAAAACAATTGAGAGCCAAAAAACGAAACATGTTTTTGATGAACCTATAATGAGTGATCAGGAAAATATGGTTGCCTCTTTGGCCCTCTTGTGTGAGGAAAACTTGGATTTAGGGACAATTCAGTCCAGCAAATATCTACAATCAGAACATTTTTCAAAAATATCTGCAGTATTTGTTTTCCCACAATTTGTAGATTATTACAATTTCTGTTTGATCAGTTCTTCTCAATAGTCACAGACAGTGAAATCTGAATTCATGCTATCTCATTGAAGGAAACATTTTTTATTAGGCATATCTGAAACACATCTTGGGCAGCGGAGGGTTCTTTTTCATTGTATGTGCAACAGAGTTGGGATTTGGGGGGGGGGGGGGGGGGGGGGGGGGATTTTAATTGGGCCTAAGGTTAGGCATATCTGAAACACATCTTGGGCAGCGGAGGGTTCTTTTTCATTGTATGTGCAACAGAGTTGGGATTTGGGGGGGGGGGGGGGGGGCAGGGCATTTCAATTGGACCTAAGGCCATAAAAATGCTCCCAGGTTGAGAAGGCCTACCTTGGAAAAAATCTAGGAAGCAACTTTTTTATTGCTCTGAGGATTTTCTCATGCAAATTCTATTCCATGAATATGCAGATAAAAATGAGACCATGTGAAGGATTTTCATGTTATTTTTCATTCAAAATTTTTCCACTGGATTAGAAAAAACTATGGGACTTTTCCCAACTTACACTGTGGTACAAAAGAAAGATTATTTTTATTTCCAGTGCTCAATGGCACAACATTTTGCATAAATATCCTGACTTTACCATGTCAGGGTTGAATTAGTCCTTATATTTTAACTCTTATTCCCAAAGAACCCTTCAACCTGATTTTACACATCACTTTTCATTAATGTTGGCTTCCATAAGCTCTGAATAGATTTTGAGAAAGCAAGCATTCCTCTCATTGAAAAGAAGTAACCCTGAATTATGTATTGAGATTTTCTAATTTCGTTTCTTTGGTCCTTTTCAAAGAGTTTACTGTACTCATCTCAACAAAGAATCGCAAATACCATATTTTTATCAAAATTCAGCAGAACTCTTTCTAGCAAATTTTCATTGTCAAAAGACTATGAAAGGGACAATTTTAACTTGTTCATCCTATTTGACAATAAGTCATGGACAACCATGGTAGCCATGGGAACACCCAGCAGTGGACAACTTACAAAGTTCGATTTTATGAAATGTTTTTCATCGTCGTCACGAGATGCAAGAGTGCCTATGTACCAAATAATAAGCATGTGAAACAAAGACTGAAACCACCAAGATGAGGATAACTTTGCTGACTGCAAATGCTTTTAGTGCTAAAAAAAATCTCATAGCTTTATCCAATCCCCACTTCCATCTGTCAACACACTTCAGTATATATACCCAAGGACTCGGCCCTTCTATTTTTATTTTATTTTTTTTTTCCTCAAAAGCATTCTCCAGTGGGATAATGGAATGAAAAATGGCTGCTGCTGTCTGAATGGCAAACTAGAAACTCGAGAACCCCCAACCTCTAACTGGATAATGTTTCAGCTTGACACCTCAGCATTTTTTCTCAGCCTGGGCCGGAAAAACATTTATTCTATAACCCGACCTTCTGGTCGTTTGGAATAGTCAAAAACTTCAAACACAATTTTTAAAATCTCTCGCAGAAAATTTAATAATTTGAAGTCCCCCATTTCCAGAATTTTGAACTATTAATCTATTGTCAGAGTTCTTCTCTTGATAAAGGATCAAGGTTCAAGAAATTCACAAAAAAAGTGATCAATTTCCTCACTAACACATAATTCACTTCATGCAAATGCAATTCCAACATGTGTTGGTATCTTGGTTGAATGTAAGTGTTCACCTTAACCATAGTTAATGTGAATAGCCCATGGACAGCAGAGGGTTCTTTCCCATTGCCAGCCAAAATATGGATTATTTTTGTATGCTGGGGCGTTTTTAGTTTTCTGAAGGTCTGAAAAGCCATTCCAGGTGGGCTGAGGCAAAGTCGGGATTAATCCAAGAAAAGCTTGTTGCTTAATGTAGCATTTTTCATTTTCCTGTTGAATTTTTCTGTTCAAAAAAAAAATCAAGATTTTTCCAGACTTTGTCATCAGCTCCTGGTTTTTGTCATATTTTTATTTTCTTCCCTGACGTGAAACAAAATTTCGCAAAAATAGTCCAACTTTGTCACCCAAGGGCTAATTTGGTTCAAAGAAAACCTTTCAATTGTGTCAGATTAATTCCAAATTCTTGATTATGTATAAATGATTGGTTTGATTTGATGATATTGTGGCTTGTCTAACAACCACAGGGAGTTGATCATTTTCAATTTGTAATAATGGGAGTTTGGCTTTTGGATTCTCAGTCTTTTTGATTGATTTAGGCATGGAGGATTGTTCTGAAGTTTGAGTTAATTGATCAGATGCCATACTGAACTTTACAGAGAGTAGTGTAAGATCTTGAATTAATGGATTGATTGGGGCGGGGGGTAATTTAATTTCAAGTATAGTTGTTTCTTTTCGCCTGAAATTTGCCCAATCATCGATTAAGTTATCTGCTTGTAAGCCAATGAGGTTTTGCAGTTGATCTTTAATGGTTTCTCAACAGCTAGGGTGTGAGGTTGAATTTATGAAAATAAGTCCTCTGCTTCCGAAATTGTTCAAGTGCCATTTAAAGGATGGCATTCATTTTCGAATAAAGATTCATATCTGCAACTTTCTGGAAAAGATTGCAGTTCGGGAAACTTCGAAAAAGAACCTGATCAATTTCTTAAAAAAAATTTAAGGGGAATCGCGCATTATGCGAACATAATTTTATATATTTTGAGGTCTGAATCAAAGCCTCGAAACTTTCGAATTTAAGAAAATTCTGCATTCAAAGAAGGTGTTCACAAACAATTCATGCTGCATTTTAACATTTTCTGTGTGACTCAGGTATTTCACAAATTTTCGCAACATCCTATACATTCTCATATTTACCAAAAATTCCTCGACGAGATCATTTAAATGCCGGAAAAAATCAGCAGCTGAAAAAGTTTTCAGCCAAGTAATGTTTAATTTTTCTGGCTTCTTCAAAAACTTGGGAAAGACCCGTGTGAAGTATTTCACGTGGGCGTGAACACAAAATGATCAGTATGAATTAGTCTGATTAACTGAAGCGATAAAATCCATGGAGTCCCAGAGAAAATTCTCCGCGACATTTTGGACCTGCGCCAAACGGCGCGAGATCAATTAGACCCGAGGGAAAATAAATGAAGTCGCGGGGCATTTGGTAACGAATTTACTGCACTGCTTTCACTCTTATTTTACTTCCCCACATTCATTATTCGTTTTTTTTTTGAGAATTTTTATATTTCCTACATTGTCTGACCATGAAACAAAGGCACGCGGAATTGCGCTTAGAAGTTTCAATTTAGCATATATTCCAAAGATTTTTCAATCATGCAAAAATGCGGTTTTCCCGAAGTCAAGTTTCTTTTTTTTATTCTATGGCCTATGTGAACAAAATTAAGGCGTACATTTCGTTGTAATGAGATCATAGAGGAAAGGTTTATCCGTTATAACAAAATGTGTATACGTGCATCATAACCATGAAGAAACTTTCTTGAATTCACTGCACAATAATTTGTTCTCATTTTACATCCTGAAATATCTATTTTTCTCATTCTCCGAATTCCTTGGCTCACCGTGACCCCCAAATCATGCAAAATTATGTTTAAAAGATTCAAATTTGACCAGGAAACCCAGCTATCATTATTGTAAATCTGGAATATCTTTTGAAGTTGATATGAATTTCATTGGTAGTTCGTGAATCGGGACTCAGAAAAGACTTGTTTAAATGCTCACAAAGATTTGGTTCAAAAGGCACAATTTTTATTAAAGAACCTCACAGGAATTAAATTTTTACAGTCATTCTTGAATCTCAAATGTATTTATATTTGCGCAAATATTTATATGCCAACTGTGGAAAGAAATATAAATTAATCAGGATTAAATTCAAAATTATGCTTCAAAGATTTAAATTTTATATTTTTCCTCTATTTGAAAATATAAATAACGTTATTCATTTCCTTCGATGAATTCTTTAAATTTTCCCCAATTCATGCAAATACAAGAAAACAATTTGCATGCAAAATTTTTTCCCAGAAACTTCAATGTAGAGTGAGACCCCAAGATGCGGACATAATTGGAGCATCAAGAGTGTCCCTAAGTCAAGTCTCATTTCCCCTTTTCGACTTACCTTATATAATGTTGAATTGGTGTTTTATGCAAAAAATACTCATAATAAATCCATGAAAATAAAAATGGTCTCCAAATTTCAACTGATTCAATCAATATATTTCAACAAAATATG